TGTCTCTGCTGGGCAGGTGCAGCAGCAGCTGGTGAGGGAGGTGAGCTCCGTGCTCCACCTGGCCACCATGGAGGCCGGAGCCGAGTACTGTGTGAGRGCCCAGGCCMKYGTGGAGGCCATCGGCAGGAGCAGCRGCTTCAGCCCGGCACAGTGCGTGCAGGCCCCGGGTAAGAGCCAATATTCCCTCCTTCCCTCCCTCCTGCCAGGCCCCCTGCCCAACAAGGACACCCAGCAGCTCTTCCCTCTGTTCCCACCCCATATCTCCTAAATGGTTTGAAATGTGCTGCTGTTCGTCCCTTGGGGTTGGTAAAACAGGACGAGTGCAACCCACGCCAGCCCTGGGGTTGGCCAGAGAGGGATCCCATTGGGATGGGGGAACAGCCCTCAAAGGGCTCGGGCTGCCTGCACTGAGTGTTTGCTTGGTCCCTGCACTGGGTGTTTGCTCCCTACACTGGGTGTTTGCTTGGTCCTTGCACTGGGTGTTTGCTCCCTGCACTGGGTGTTTGCTCCCTGCACTGAGTGTTTGCTTGGTCCCTGCACTGGGTGTTTGATCCCTGCACTGGGTACTTGGTGCTTGCACTAGGTGTTTTCTCCCCCCAGTGTCTCTGAGTTTTGCTGCTTCTGTCGTTCCCAGGTGACACATCCCTCTGGCTGGCCACTGCCCTCATCTCCTCCGCTGGCGTCGCTGTGGCAGCTTTTACCCTGCCTCTCCTGACCTGGAAAATCTGTAAAATTTTTCAGTATTTCTGCTGCCCTGCTGCTGTCCTGCCTGACACACTGGTAACTTTTTTATCATGCATTATGGGTTTTTGGGGTGCTGGGGATTGACAGGAGCGTGGGGCAGGCAGAAGAGGCAGGTTCCCAGGAAGCCTGGCTCATTCCAGTGAGGGGCTGAGCAGAAGGGATCCAGCAGCCCTGGRCTGGCTGCACAGCTGTCACTGCCTCTGGCCCAGAGCCCCAGAGAGGAAAGATGCTCCTGGTGCTTCTGGGGAAGTGGCTTGGGAGGCAGGGACTGACTCTGGCTGGGCAGCTGCTCCCTGAACCAAACACCTGTGCCACTGTTTGTCRCTGTTTGTCACTGCCAGCACTGCTCCACAGCCCCTGCTGTCAGCTCTGAGCTCCTCAGCTCCTTGCTGAGGAGAAATCAACCAAAAGCTCCCTCCGGGATCTGTTGAAATGTCCAGTTCAAGTGAGAACGCAGGTAGCAGCTTTTATGGCTGTGGGTTCCTGAGCACTGGGACTCTGGGCAGCTGGGTCAGGAAGGATGAGAGGAACTCTTTGTGGGGAAGAGGACCAGCACACTAACTCGGCAACCTGAGGGTGTCTGAGTGAGGGCATTTTTTTCCAGAAGGACTCAGAGCCCCCCATCCCGCTCATCCTGCAAGGCAGTGAAGAAGCTGAGCACTGTGACCTGATGGTGGTGGTGGTGCCCTCAGAAGAAGCTCTCCAGCTATGGATTCAAAAAACACTTTAGAGCATCCCAGAAAACCAACAGGCCCTTTGCAGCATTTTCACCCACCTACATGAAAAGCAAGTAAAGGTGACAGCTGCCAGTTCCTGTCCTTCCCTTCCATCACATYCTGACCTAGGAGCAGGCAGAAGGTGACCCACACTCCCTTTTTCAGTCACATTGGAGCTCACCCCTCAGCCACCAGGATTTCCCCACAGCAATCCATGGAGAGCCCAGTCCCCCAGTTCCAAACCATTTCAGCCTCAGTGGTTTTACCTCAGTAAGAGCTTCTCACATAGCTGAACCAGCTGGAATGAGCAGGGGAGAAAATGCAGACTTCAAAGTGAGGTAGAACTCTTTAAAAAGGGTGTTGGCAGTGAGTGAGTGCAGCAACCTAACCTGTGACAGGTCACAGYGCTGGTGCCACCAAAATTGCAGACAGCACCACGAGGGATGCCTGGCTCTCAGCAGGGCTTAGGAGGGAGCAATGTGGGAAATAGCCAGACCTCAAAAGTGGTCAGAGGGAGCCCCAGGAACCTTCTGGGGAGCAGAGCTGTGCAAGGCCAGCAGCATCACTGACAATGGACAGCCCCAACATTGCTGGTCAGGGAGTCAAAAATGTAAGAGCTGTGTACACATGAAGGAAAAATCGGGGTCTTTGGGGAGGAGAAAATTAGRTGTGAATTATTTAAATGAGAGGGGATTGGTGTGGAGAAAGGGAAAAGACAGAGAAAGGTAGGCTTGAGAAATAGTAAAAGAAATAGGAAAAGAGACAAAAAGATTTGTGAATGGTGGTCAGGATTGTCCAGGGTGACTGCTGGGCATTGCTGTGGTTCAACAGCACACCTGGAGCAGGRCAGGAATTATTTCACACAAGGCAGACATGTTCTTGTGGCCAGGGAGCCAGGGTGAGGGGCAGTGCAGTGCTTACCTTGGCAAACACAAATATCAGGTGATATGGATCAAGCATCACAGCATCACCATATTAGTAACAGCTCCAGGCCTCACACCACCAAGATAGCCTCCAGCTATCTTGTCCTCTTAAGAAAAAGATTGCAAAAGGCAAGAGAAATTCCTTCTAAATACAAATAAAATATAGTCGTTGTATATATTGCAATTACAGCTGTCATGTTGGAAAAAARAGTAATTTACTACCTGTGAAGCAGAGACTTGTGTCAGCAGAGCATGACAAGACATGTATCTCAGAAGTTTTTTCCAGAAGCTCTCAGTGGTTTTAAYGAAATGCAAGACATCTTTCAAATAATGTACCTTTTCCAGTTTCATTCTTGCAACTTTGTGTGAGGCCATCGGGTGGCAACAAAGCACCATGGAAAGCAGAAGTGACCCGGRAGTCTCCATCCCTGTGTTCTGCAGAGGCAGTTCTCACTCTGGGTCCTGTCCAGCCCCTCATTCTGCTGCTGCAGCCCACTTGATTGGTTTGTTCCTGTCTCAWTGGGTCCTGTCTGGGCAATACTGGAGTGCTTTGGTGCTGAATTGTGAGATTGATATCTCTGAACACTGAGCAGATTGCAGGGTGAGCTCAGCACTGTTGGTAATTCCCTGGGAAATGCTTGGTTCCAAGCTCCCATGTGATGTTGGGCCCAGAGGATATTTGGGTCAGGAGAGCAGGGCATGTTCATAGGCTGATATTGTTGGAAAATATTCCAGTTAAAAAAAAAAAAAATGTATAACTTTAGTCAGATGTTTTGTTTGCCTTTGCCCCAGGGAAGGGTGCTGAAGTCTCTTTCCAGGACATTGTTCCACCAGGTAAGGCCTGATGAGATGAAGAAATCCAGATCCAATAGGAAACCAAATCCAAAGACTACACAACTTTAATGAGTACTAAACGAATGAAGAACTATGGGTTTTGACTGTGTATAGTTTGGTTACATGTGTCATGGAATGATTTTCTCTACACACYCAGGCTACATGTGGATGGAATTATTTCTGTGGTATATCCTGGCTAGAACAACATCTTGGCCAGAAAGTAAAGTAATGCCTTGACTCTCTGACATTATAAATGTTGGAGAGTTTTTGTTTGTCCTGCTGTTTTGGTGACAATAGGACAAGTGTCCAGCAGGTCTCACCCTCCTTAAACCACGCTGGAGAGGCAGAGGGAGAGCACCAGTGAATGATTTTGGCAGCAGGCAGTGAACTGCAGCAGGTTTGGGGAGGGCAGACAGCCCAGAACCTCCATCCCTTGCAGGGTCAAGGGCTCTTTGTCAAAACACCCCCTTACACAGCTTTGTCCAGGGCTTGGATTTCCAAGGACAGCGCCCCATCACAGAGGCTTTGATTGTAGGGCTGGTTTAGGGAGCTCCTGTGCCTCACATTTATCCTTATTTTAYACCCCATTGATTCAGATGAGTTCCATGTCTTGATTTCTGGGGTGCCCCACAGGGGTGTCCCCATGCAGGGAAATGTCCTCCTCCTTGTCCATTGTCCAAGCAGCAATTCCTCCTATCTCCTCCCCCATCATTGCTGCATCTTCAGAATCACAGAATCAGAATATTCTGAGCTGGACGGGACCCACAAGGACCAACAAGCCCGACTATGGAGTGAATASCCCATATGGAGATCAAACCCATAATTTTGGCATTAGCACCATGATCAAATCAGCTAAGGCAGTACCAGCAATTATTCAGGGACACACAGGAAAGGAGGGAAATAAAAGGCCATTGAATGTGAAGGGCTTTAAAAAACTATTTTAATGTGTATTTTCCAGCTGCACATTAAGCATTGAGCATATGTTTCTTTCTCACTTGCAATAACAGATTTTATGTCCTTCCTCATTGCCAATAAAGCAGTTAAACTGTTGTAGAGAACTGCACAGACAACATTAAACAAAAGAAACACACAAGGAAAACTTCTTACAATGGGGACTTGGGAGAGAATTTTGTAAGTGCCTCTGCCACTTTGGAAGACTATTCTCAATTTATATTAGGATTTTCCAGTTTATGGCACCTTGAAGCCAAATTTGAGAGGGTGATTGAAAATCCTTGTAAACCTCCTCATTTTGAAGTATGTGCTGCACTTTGTTAAGCCTGAAAATCATGGTAGAGAACAAGAGGAATTCTTTTTGAGAATTTGCTCTCTATTGACACAGCAGTACGGTGGCACTGGTGAAGGCAGTTGCCATCAGTGACTCCTTAATTCATGTCCCTGCGTTCCAAGAGTTAATTTTGGCATGGCAACCACKGCCTTTGATAACTGATTTTGCTCCCACGATCATGATGCCACCTTGCAAAGAAGGCCCAGACCAGCTACCACGGTGGAGAATCTGTACTGATAAACTTGGCTCGGTTTCTTTCCCTTCATGTGGTATTAAGTGTCTTCATTTCTTTCAAAGTAAACTACTTTTTTTACTTTTCTCAAAAAATGGTGGGTGAAAATAAAGCAAAAACCTGCATCGTTTTTTGGGTGAGTTTTGGTTCTGTGCTACATAACCTGTGGCATTGTGACTCCAAAAACCCAACCTTTTCATTAAGACTTTGTAAGGACAGAGGAAATAGTAACAAGACCAGTTTTCAAAGAACAAATGATGAAGACCAGCAAAAAAACTGTTGACTGTTGATTACCTGAACATTTGAGAAGAGTTACATATTGCTGCATTGGCAAAAAGGCAAGAAATTATCTGTTCCATGACACTASCAAGAGATGGAACATAGGTTAATTTTTCCTGTGAAGTATATTTCAGTAGAAGTATATTGCTGTTTGCAATTTTTAAGGGCTGCCATTAACATACAGCCCAACATTTCACTCTCCAATCAGAGATCTTTAGCTTGATAAATTACCATTTTCAGTGTTTCCTGCATTATYATTTTGTGGTTTGTCTCTTTCCATACAAAATCAAGAAGTCACTAAAACCRCTACTTCAACTGCAGATCAATTCAGTTTCTTGTGAAGGTGCTCTGTCCTGAAAATGAACTGCTACAAAGGTAATAAACATCCAAATCAGATGCAGATATTTATCGTTTCAAGAATTCGCCTACAGATCATTCTGTTGCTATTACAGTACAGAACTGCAGAAACAGAAAATTGCTCTGCTCATGTCTCTTGTGGTGTTTCTCAATAAATGGAACTATTAAAAAAAAAAAAGATCAGAAATTACTAAATCAAGATATAGAAGCAATTAAAAGATGGCAAGGTTAAGTGGAACTGCCCAAGTAAATACTGCACACAGAGCCCTAATTTGGTTTCCTGTGGCGCATGGGCTGTAATTGAGCTGTTCCTACAGAAATGGCCCCGGCTGAGGATTTTAATGTCCCTGATTTCAGAATTTCCTGTCATTTTCAGCTCAGGATCGACTCAGACCCTCATTAAGAGCCAAGGACACGCTGTCACAGTGCAGGCAGTGGTCCTACCCTAGACACCCTGCTCATCCTACAGCCCCAGCCCCACAGCTTCTGCTTGGTTTACAGATCTTCAGCTCTGGAATAAAGCAGAGACAGGAGGGCACCGCCAGCCAGAGCTCTGCTGATGTCACTGCATTTAATGGTGACTTGAGGAAGGTCTGAGGCAATATCTGATTTTTAAAATTTTTATATTAGCTTTCATTTTTTGATCAGACACCTGAATCAAAAGTGTAAGGCCTATTTAAATACAGAGCAGAGGTTTAAAGTAAATACACTCTACTTGCCAAACATGGGCTATTTTAACTAGATCTGTATCAAATCCTGCAGTCTCTGTCTCACACAAAAACAGGGGTCTGTGAAACCTGAATATTTGGGGACYACCAGCAGAGCCACATGGTAGAGGAAAGGAAGATCTCATCAAAGATGCACATAACCTCAGAGGAGAGGAGAGGTGGAGTGTTCTCTACCCGAGACCTTGCAGGATAGCAAGAATAGAAAGGACTTTTCCCCATCCAAAACTCAGTCAAGGAGAGAGCTGGAAAGAGAAAATATCCATGACCAGCTGTGAAGCTGGAAATAGAACCCTGCTCCCAAGCTGAGCAGTCAGTATGGTACTGCTGAACTTTCTCCTCCTGGACTTCCATTCCCATTTATGTTCCCAGAAGATTCATAGCATTTTTCCTCTGTACAATTGCTGTCTCATTTTACCCCTCTGCTGAGCCCAGAGAGTTCCTGTAGACCTGTCAGAGTGGTYGTTGATGCCAGCCAGCTGCAGCTCTCTACTTTTTGTGACGTTGTGGTCTTCAAAGCAGCCTTCACTGCACCATCCCTCCCTGCTCTCTGCTGTGCCTTCGTTCTGCTGAGCGTCCTGCTCGTCCTCTAGGTTGCTCATATATCTCCTCCCTCCTGCTGCTCTCCAGACAGGCTGATGGCTAACATTTTCTCTCTTTCTGCCAAGTCCTGGCCTTGCCTCCCTCTTCTGCCATCTGCTACAACTTCATTGTTAAATTTGACATTGTTCCCAACGCTCAGCCGAGTTCGGTGCCGCCTCCAAAGCCCCGYGGTTGGGAGGATGTCTCTCCCCACGACACCGTGTGTCATTTTGGGATAGTCTTACCCAGGTATTCTCAGGCAGTTTGGCATTTCCTGAGCCACTTTTGCTTGCTCATTCACTTTTCCTCCCATGCACAGTGAAAGGCTGTCCCCTGCTAGCAGAAGCTCTCGGTGCACCAGCCTGTCATCCGCCCRTTGACCTTTTCTCTTCCCTTGGAACAGTTACACAATTACCTGGCTTTGCCATGGAGAGACATCTTTGTCACCATGTTTTGCTTTTAGTATTGATCTCCTGATTTTTTTAGTTTGGTTGCTCTGTCTTCTGCTCCWYTCCTGGGGGAGACWCTCCTGCTCCAATTGAGGTTTGGTRTGGAAATGTTTAAAACCTGCTGGYTGTGTGGATAAATTTGCTGTGCTCTAGAACTTCTCTTTCAGTGCAGACCAAATGCAGGGTCCTGTTCAGCTTGCAGAGCCAACCTGGCCATCCTGCCTTCCTTGGCAGCCAAACTGTGCCCTCACCTTCAGCATCACTGCCCAGATGAGATCATGGGCACATCCCAGGGGCTCTTGATCCCTTGGCTTGGAACACATCCCCAGTGACACAAGGTGCCCTCACTCTCTGCATGTCTKTATGGCCCCATGGAAAAACCATCCCTGCACCAAAGCAGCCTCTCCTATTYGGGTAAAATCTATTTTCCCAAGTGCATTTTGCACAGGACCCCATTTCTGCAGAGAATATACAGAAATGTGAACCTCCAGGTACAGAGCTTGCTCAAACATATCTGCCTGATCACCCCTTTCTCACTACAAATCATAATCTACCACTTAAAATGCCTGGACATATGGATGAATCCTAATTATGGGGRAAAATACATGGACATACAAATAAGCAATCTTATTCTTCATATAAATGACACCAAACACACACAGTTTACTCCTTTGCCAGCCAGAAACTGAAAACTATAGACAATTAAATGTTCTAGCTTCTGTCTCTAAAAATATATTGATAAGAGAAGGGGGAAATGTCTTTCAAAAAAAACAAGAAAGTAATCTAAATGAATTCATCTGTAGTTAGTGGATTAGGCACTTTGAAAAGCCCAGTGGGATGTGACAGTACATAACTTTATATGAATATGGAAATCAGATGCCTGGGTTATAAAAGAGCATGTTTGGGTAATGAACCCTTTGACATTTCTCAGCATTGCTCTGTTTGTTGTGGCCATTTTTGCTCTGGGGCTCSTTTTATGCTGGGCCAGGGTGCCCAGGAATATTGAAATGCTCACAAGGTGCCATTAAGGCTTTGATGTGCAAGACTGCTCCTTTAATTGCAGCAATAAAGAATTAAGTGGGTTCTGCTTTTAGAATCTTCTTAAGTGGGCCTGTAGCTTCTTGTAATGACTTAGACATATCAAAGTTAGCTTTAACAAAGAGYGCTAAATATTAATTAAACTTTCATCTTAATCCAATCCAACTGTCAATTGTGAAGAAATAATTCTTGTAACTCTAAAACAGAAAAATGTCCAATTCAGGATCAAAAGCAGGATAGCATTACATTTAATTCCCTCCCACCATCGGTGGGCACACAGAAATGGCCTGTTGGGAATTGCCTCGGGAATATCCTGCTTGCTCAGCCCTGACCTTTTGGACTGCCTCTTCAGGCAACTCAGCCAGCCAGCTCTCCCAGACACGAATCACAACATGACTCAGACCTGTCACTTCTTTTCATCTCCCTTGCTCTCCACCAGCTGCTGGAAGAATTAAGTGCAGATAGCAGATGAGCACAAATCTGCTGGCAGCCCTGTCCCACCCAGTTTTCACCAAAGAGCAGCGCTGGGTGATCAGTGTGACAMYGTTTGGGACAGGCAGGGAGCTGCAGGGACCCKGCTGGTTACAGAGGGTGCCTTCAGTGGCACAGCCGTGTCCAAGGCAGTATAAGCAGTGCTGACCACTGATCCCAACACCCAGAGCAGCTCCTCTGGAAAGGGCACTCMGGGATGTCTCCTCTGCTGCCCAGTGACACTGGACCAAGGAGGTTTTTCTGGAAGAACCAATAGTTTATTTTACCACTTTCATTTCTGTCAAGACTGCTAAAGGTCTTTGCCACAGCACTGTCAGAAACCATTTTTTGCCTGGTTGGTTTAGGAACAGGGAGAATTTCCTGAGCAATCTTCTTGTCCTTGACTAAATGCCCACAAGCAAAGTACATGAAAGACACACTTGAGTCCTGAGTTAAACTGAAGACCAGGATTTCCTGTGGTATCAATATTCAGCCCACCTTCACAGGGACCCCAGTAGGGCTGCCCATTTGCTGAGGGCTTCACTTCTGTAAGAAAATCAAGATTGTCTCTTGGCAGCATGTCTCAGCTGAGCAGGACTGTACAGCCCAGGCTGTGTGCTCAGAGTGCCAAGCATCACTGCTGAACACAGACTGCTTTGGGTCAGAACTCTGAGAGAAAAGTAAAAATCAGGGCAAAAAGGGAGCCCAAGTGTGGAGTGGAGAGAACAGAAAATACACACAGTTGGGTAACACAATCTGGAGAAATATGGAGAGGATTTCCATCCCAACCCTCTTCTCCAAATGCAAAAATAAAACCTATTGTGTGACCGAGGTGAGGAGAAACTTCCCATTTTGCTGGACAGAGCAGAGGCAGGGGAGCTGTATTAGGGGCACACCAATAATTCATATTTACCGTGGGAAGAGAACAAGAGAAAGAGGAGCTGTGCAGAGCTCTGTGTCAAAGGAGGGAAATTCCAGCTAGAAAAGGAGATTTTGARCCATTTGCTAGACAAATGAATTGAGCAAGTGAACTGTGTGGCTCTGTGGAGCTGAGGAAAAGCAAGGAGGAGCTGCCAGGAGAGGTCCAGTCCAAAGTTCCAGGAGGAACCAGGAAGTCCAGTCCAGTGACAGCTGAAAAGGACAAAGCAAACACATGAGGAAGCCCAGGAGGACAGAATTGTAAGAAATGAGGATGTAAATAAAARCTATTGGGGGTTTAAAATGTTGATTCAAACTCAGCATATAATCCCATGAATTTGACCCTGCTGGATCCAAATACACACCCAGACTGAGCTCCCCATGTCCCCATCAGCCCCAGAGGACCCAAAAGTAGGGCTGCCTCTCATTTTAGTGAATGGTGCCTCTGTTTGCCACTGGTGAAAAACAGAGCCTGATKGAAAGATTCCTTTTGCAAAAGCAATCATTATTTTAAATCCCCTGGATCAAATTCTTTTTGTAGGCAAATAAATACTGAGTAATAACCATTTACYCTGATCCTATAAAAATGATAAAGGAAAAGGGGGTATCCATCACCTGTGAAGGTAGTTYTTCTCAAAACATCAGAGAAAAGTTATTGCTGCAAAAATGGTTTTAAAGATTCTTGTAGCTACAAAACTACTGAAAACTACTTGTCTATAACATTCCAACCCTTCTACGTTATCATKAAAGATAATACCACATAAACACTACTTAATCCAGGCATCTGAACTGCCTTCTGCAACATATGTATGATCTTTCCATTTTTATACACAACAAATCTGATAAACAGAGATTATATAAAGAGAAGTCGTTGGAGTATTACAGCATGACTGTAGCACAGAGCAGTTTCCTTCTTTCCAAGTAATCCCAATTTATGCAGCCAGAGGAGTCTAACATTGAAAAAAAAACCTGACTTCCTTTAGGAAAAAGAAAACTATTCACATTTAAAAGTTCTCTGAATGAGTATACTTTACTTTGTGCTCAGTATTTTTAAAAGCTCTGTATCACAAAAGGAACCAAATTTCTGCTTTATTTTGCCTTTCTTTTCTTTTTAATATACTGTCATCATCCCTGTCCTCCACAGCTCTGCCAGCCTGAAAAACAAGAATGAAGATGAGACAGAGGAACAGAAATAGAAATATCTGTTAGTTGGGAGACAAAACAAAATGTAAGAAGTATTTAGGACAAAGTCATCCCAGATAACAAAAGCCTTGGATGCCCGCCCCTCAGGGAGATGGGCACGGGGACAAGCAGAGTGTGCAGGTGTTGGTGCTGCAGGGCAGAAAACACAATCCACAGGGCAATAGGTGGAGGCAATCTGTGAGAAAAGAACTGTAAAGACCTGTATTCACACTTGGAGAAATGTGATGATTGAGATGCTGGCAGCCACTTGAAAGATGGCCCTGAAGAACAGCACCAGCTTTCTTGTGAAGGYTTTCTGTCAAAGTTTCAAGTGCTTTGTTTATTCCTTTTAGCAAGTGGATAACCCTGAGAAACACAGGGACAYGCAAACGCATTACTGAGTAAATGTCCTGCAACATCAAAATAATTGAAGTAATAATCCTGTGGCCCACTAAATAGCTATCACCTCTATTTCTGGCATGCAATTAAAACCAAGGAAAGAACGCTGATTATTTGGCTGCGAGATGGAATGCTGAAAGGAMTGGAACAGGGAGAAGGGAAATGGAATTCCAACAGGACAAGGAGAGAATGCAGAGGATGGTACAAAACTGGCACTGAGGAGGCGGTACTCAGGGGAGGCAAGGAGAGGCTCTTGGGTAGGGAAGGGTCTGAAGTACAAAGTTATTTCATCAACCTTGCAGAGCTGTAATCACAATTGTTCTCAGAGCCCTGTGAGTTTTCTCACAAAGGTTTTCTGCAAACTTTCCAGTTTACTCATAACAGAAAATGACCAGAGCCAAGTGAGTGGATAAATAATGGAAAATCCCATCAACAGTTGGGCTCAGACATGCAGGACAGGCACCAACAAGAGCCATAACAAGTCCCCCTKTGAGAGGCCATCAGGAAGGCAGGAACAGGTCCTTGAAGCCTTAAGGAGAAACTTCACCTCATCCCTCCTGGCTCTCTTCAAGGAGCTGCAGAAGCTGTCCCACATGTCCTGTCTGCAGGCAGTAAAGCACAGCATGAGCTGTGCCTGTGGGGTCCRTGAGCACTGCCCTGTCTGTCGGTATGAGCCTGCTTGGATATTTCCAGGGCTTGCTGGAAACCACTGGTGTACTGCTCTGAGAGGCGACCAGCAGCCCCAGGGCCCTTGCCCTTGGGCCCAGGGAGTCCAAACTAGGCTGGAAGGAARCACCACCCAGGCCAAAGCCCAGGAGGTTACAAACAGCTTCTTCACCACAGAACATTGCATTCACTTCTCAAGGAACTGAACTACTGTGTGACAAGTGTGGCCAATGTCAATGTTGTCCTTCCATCACCATCAGGGGCCCTGCTCCTCATGGCACTGAATGCTCACCAGAGAGCCCTGAGCAAAGTGCAGAGGGGTCAGAAACTCTACGAGCCAGCTGACCATCATGAGAGGACAATACACTTCTCTGCGGAAATGGGATATTCAGTATTAAGTGCTCCCTGCTCTCACAGCATTGCCATCTGGTGAGTAAAGCCCAGGGTTTGCTCTAATTAGTTCTGTCCGTCTGCACAAACAGGACCTACAAAATTTCCTCCAGACCCACTTCAAGCAGAACATCTGCCAGCGCTGTGCCTGGGAATGAAAGCCTGGGAAAGGGACTCTGCTTGGTGTTGGGAAAGATGTGGGTTTCACTCATCACACACTTTCAAATCTAAATTCCTCTGGGGCTGCCAGCTCAAGCCTCTGAAGGAAGAGATTTACACCATTATGCYGAAAGCAGAATCAAGCCCTGGATTTACTACTCTCTAGCTCAGAGCAGAAATGCTAAAGTACCACTCCAWCCCTCCTCCTCTTCCTGGACGAATCTCTACCCTGTGCTTTATGAAAAATGCCTTTCCTAGCTCCACATAACAATAATAATAATTCTTTTCGGGACTGAGCCGTGACGCCTCCCCCAGCCCGGCGTGCTGCAGTGGGCTCCGAGCGGTGCCGGGGCCGGTGGCAGMGGGTGGCAGCTGTCCCTGCCTCCTCCTGCCCATCCTACGGGAGCAGGGGACGGCGAGCCTGGCAGCCTGCAGGTGTCTCCCAGCGGAGGAGGCTGCGGAGCCCCTCGGGAGGATGATGTGTGGTAGCCGAGCAGATGTTCACTCGCTCCTGGCGCTCCTCGGAAGGCAGAGCCGCCCCGCTCCGCTCAGCGCGCTGAAGCTCCGCGGCTGCGAGAGAGCGGCCCCGCTGCCGCGCCGGCAGCTGCTCCTTTAACGGACACGGGCAGGATTGMGAGCGGAGGGGAAGAATGGGAGTCTGCCCGCAGCGCTTCCTCGGCCGCCTCAGCAGCAGATTGGAAGAAGCTGAGAGTTTTGATGCCTGGACAACYGGATTCTGAATCGTGAGAGGCTTTGAAACCCCCCCTCCTCCCAAATAAAACAAACCCCTTTGACTTCTTCTCTCAGCAGGAGGGGGAGGGAGGGCGGATTTACCATGAAGACAAATCGAAGATGCAGAGCCCTGCTAGCAGTGAGTCTGAATCTGATGGCTCTCCTCTTCTCTACAACAGCTTTTATCACGACCCACTGGTGTGAGGGCACACAGAGGGTCCCCAAGCCGAGCTGTGGGAAAGAGAAGAAGACAAACTGCCTCAACTACGGCGGGAATGAGACTGCAAATGAGACGAACCAGAATGTGGTTCATTACAGCTGGGAGACGGGAGATGACCGCTTCCTTTTCAGGTATTTCCACACTGGGATCTGGTACTCCTGTGAGGAAAATATCAATGCTGCTGGTAAGTATAAAACAACTTCCTTGCAGCCTGCGTTGCTTTGTGTTTGCCTCGGCGTGATAAGCACACGGGCGAACCGCTCTGTGCCGTATCTTAGAGCAGATTCGCCCTGCGGAGAGAGGCAGGATTTTAACAGTTCTTTGTCGAAAAGCAACCTGTTCCCTGCGAGAGCGGGGATTTGCTTGTTTACCTGCTGGCTGCTGCAGGCTCTGAGCTCTCCAGCCAGCTGAGCCCCGAGCAACGTGTGCCACCCTCCCGGGCACTGCAGCCCCAGCCCGGGCAGCGCTGCCCTGCCAGCTGCTCCTCGGAGCGCACGCAAGGCAGCGGCCGCACTTGTTAAGCAGGTTCTGACATCTGTCGGCAATCGCCCCTAGGACAGGSTCTGAATGGCAGCGGGAGCACAGAGGTCACCGTTTCTATCAGCTGTAGCCCAGCCTGCCTCTTTTCTGCCATCCCTGAAGTGAGCGACCACCCGCGAGCCCTTCCTGGAGTGGATGTTTATTGAAGTAGAGAAATGCAGCTAAAGGGCACGACTGGGCACAAGAAAGCTCATTTGTGTTCYCTGCTCAGCCATTTACTTGCTGGGAACCACTCAAAAAGACATCCCTCCAGCTTTATCAGTGCATTCATTTCCTCCGCTGTAGCCTGGCACTTCCYAAGAAATAAAACACTGGAGGGTGGATGGCAGGCAGCTGCCATGGGACCGATTTAAGTCTCAGCAGATGCAAACTGACAGCCCCTACTCCCAGAGCTGTCGGCTAGAGCTAACATCCACACTCTGCTCTTACAAGAGCTCTTTTCTAGAGGATGTGGCTGAAAAATAAAGTTTACGAATGTGACACGGGATGAGATGATGGATTGGGGGTACTTGTTCCTCGCCGGGCTGCTCCCATCCTATCCTGCTGTAGCCCAAGGAGTAGGACGGGGAGTTGGTCCTTCACTGCTGGGAGAGAGGAGCAGTTAACCATGGGTGTGTTGTGTCTCTGAGAACACAACCCCTCTGGTCAGGAGAAGTTTGTGGGATCTTGGCAGAGCTGTTCTGTACGGCTGCCCTGTTAAATGGGCAAACTTGGGGAAGTGCTCACAGCCTGTTTCATCCCAAGGGGTTGTGTATGCTCCCTGCTGGTTTTGAGGAGAATTCCTGAAGAGTTAGTTAAGCATTAAAACTCAATTTCATGTGAAAAAAAGGGAAGTTTATGAATTCCAGTCTTGGGACTGCAATAGCTCCATGCTGAAATGAGAGCACCAAAGCAACCTTCTTGATGTTAGAAAGAAAAACACAGGAAAAAAACAAGATCATTTGTATTACTGTTTTGGAAATCAACTTAGGCCACAGCAGCCTGAGTGAGCAGCTTAAGGCTCTCTGGCTTTTTGAGCATCTTAGCTGGCGTTGGCACAATCAAGGATGCCCATATTTCTGGCAGATATTGAAATCTTTCCAAGTCAAGATTTATGTGTGAGATAAGTTGTAACTGTGTGACTCTAGCCCACTCAGAAAAGTGAGTTATCTGTGGGAGAAGAGAAACACAGTGATCTATTCTATACTGGGTAAACAAAGCTGTGCTGTAGTGGGTGATTTCAGGAGAGAGTTGGAAGCCAGCTTTAAAAAGTTATGGTGAAAGCATGAGAGAAGGGGTTGTTTCTCCCTGCCCACACCTCCACAGCATCTCTCTGCGGGTTTCCTCTCATTTGAAACATTAACTTGGGGGAAAGCACTCTTCAGTTTGCAGCCTAGGAGTGACCAGCCCTTGCCAGCAGCCCAGGCAGGTGCAGGGATACACTGGCTCACACAGGCAGCTGCCCTTCTCAGATTTACCGTRTCTTCTTCGGGTAAGGACAGGAACAATGCAACGGACATGGCTCTAAATTTGTCCCTAATAGCGCCAACATAAAACACCCGACAGCTCTTCCCTCAGACTGATGGGTCTGTAATAGCAGACTGTCAGGGTGTTGTCATGGCCCTTTGCAGCCTGACTGATGAACATTTCATGGGAGCTGCAGGGCAGCGAGGCCAGCCAGCCCCAAGCCAACAGCGCTTACACATCCAGCCCCCACCCCACAGATCCGTGAGGGATCCAGCCCAGACCCCAATTCCACCTGCTCAGCACACCTACTGACCCCATCCCTGATCCTGTGGGGATCCTGTGTCAGTGTTAAATGGCATTGTATTAATATGTTAAATAGCGGTGGATGAAATTAGCCCCAGTCCCAGCTGGGATGCACTGCACGCTGTCARTAACATCTTTCTGAAAGCTTCACCAGCAGCAGCCTTGCTCCAGGCAAAGTCCCTTCCCCAGTGCCTCMCAGCCTCACACTGTGTCAGCAGAACATATGGCCAGAGCCCCTGCTCAGCAYCATTCCCACAGCTCCTGTCCCAGCCTGATCCCTCACTGATGTCTGAAGTTGGGCACTGTGAGAGGAGACCTCATCACAGCTACAGCTAACTCATGAGGGGAGGAGAGGCAGGCACTGATCTCTTCTCTGTGCCAGGGACAGGACCCGAGGGAATGGCCTGAAGTTGTGCCAGGGGAGGTTTAGATTGGAGATCAGGAAAAGGCTCTTCCCCAGAGGGTGTTTGGGCACTGACCAGGCTCCCCAGGGAATGGGCACAGCACAGAGCCTGACAGAGCTCTGGGAGTGTCTGCACAACACCCTCAGGCACAGGGTGGGATTGTGGGGCTGGAGATGGACTTTGATGATCCTCGTGGGTCCCTTCCCGTTCAGGACGCGCTGTGATTCTGTGCTGGATCCCATGTGAATGCCAGCAGCTCTCTCTGGGATTGTGGTGCTGCCAAAACTCTCCAGAGCCCCCAAACTTTCACAGCTATGAGCCACACTCTTCCTCCAGCCACCAGCCTTTTCATTTCTCTCTCCTCCATCCACGCTGTCACAACTTTCTGCTCCCTGCACTGGTGCAGCTGCACCACCCCAAATGTTGTAGTGCCAACAGCACCAGCTCCCAGCAGGTTGATGCTGCAGGGAACAGGATTCCAGGGCTGCCAGCCAGCTGGAGGGGCTGGCACTCGGTCACACCTTAAAATGCCATTTAGGCTGCAARCAAGCAGATTTTGGAGTGTCTTCTCCTTTTCCCTGTTTATCTGCAATGTGCATTTAGATTCCAGAGGCTGAGGTGCAAGCAGCATGCCATCCACTCTGTGCAGAGCCCAGCGGAGCGTGCCTGCCTCTTGGTGCCACTTTCTGGTTTCCCCTGACAGCTCTAACAGAGATTGAACGCTGTGATTATTTCTGAAATAATTTGTGAATCTAGAGTTTATTTTTATCCAGCGTGTCTAGGACAGCTCAGGAATTCGAAAAGCATTTAACACCTGAGAAATGTAATTGTGAATCCCCTCTGGGAACAGAGGGACTGGAGTGTTTCTATTTCATTGGTGGGGGAGTCCTGTAATTGTTTAGCACAATTTCTGACTCAAAGTGTGCTGAATCCCAGCCTAGCAGAGGAGAGGCTCTCCCTTTCAGAGTGGGTTCAGGGCTTTGGATTCCAAACAGGTGGTGGTGCCTTCTTTAGGAGCAACACACCCAACCTCATAAAGGGCTGAAGACAAAGCTCTGCAGGCTGTGCTGATCATGAGTTCTGTTCTGATCATGAGTTCTGTTCTGATCATGAGTCCTGTTCTACCCTCTGCTGTACCTGGGGCCTCTTCCCGGGCTCTGAACTCCTTGGCCATGGCCACATGGCTCAGAGTCGAGCTCACCAACATTTAATTTCATTTTAAAAGTGAGTTTGAGTGTGTATCCTGTTGCACACCTGCACTCTGGGTCTGTGCTTGGGCACCACGTGCACCTCACAAGTGATGCCCTGASAGCAGCAGTGCTGAACCAGCTGGTGGATTCCATGGCTCGAGAGCAAACATGCCGTGAAGTGGGCAAGGTGGCACATCATATCCTAACAGAGGAGAGCTGGGAAGCAATAACAAATCAGTTTTGCTCAGTAGTGTGTTTGCTTTGATGTTGATAGAACAAAAAAAAACCATAAACTCAGAGCACAGCAAAGCTCAGTATCAACATCCTCAGTCAGAGGGGAAGAGCAGCTGCCCAGSTGCCTTCTGAGGGTACTACCCCATTAAATAAACAAGGATGCTCACAATGCTCCGTGGGAATCAGACAGGAATGAATGTGCATGGCTTTTTCTGTGGGTTTGGGTTGAATCCTTTGGAGGGCAAGGGGTCTGTAGCTCTTTGAGTGCTCTACACCACCTATTCCTCAGCACTTCTTAAGGTGTTGGCTTTCAGCTGGTCTTAGAATTATGAGGCAGATGCAGTAACGGGATAAAAGGGTTTTACCTTGGTATTTTAATAGGATCCCAGGTGCACAGCTCATCAGGGTGGAACACACCGAGATGTACCCCCTGTGTAACATGTATACAATTTTTATAGACTTCACAAATTAGCATATCTATCTAGAATGCCCCAATAGGAAACTTCATAAATGAGGTCAGGTCCCCCTATTCTAAAGAATCCCCCAAAAATGTGGCCAGAGCCCAGTTTACACAATGTGTTCCAGACAGAAGGTTCCAACCAAGGTTGAAACCTCCAGTTTTGGGATAGCACAGAGCTCACCAGCCTCCTACTGGGGATGTTTGGTTTTTCTGCAGAGCAGAACCCCAAAACTGAGCTGGAATATCAGGCTACAAAAATTACAAGGATGTAGGTGAAGGGTACAAGGAATACATWAAGGGTACAGAAAATATCTAAAAGGATATATAAAATATATAAAAGGGTATGTAAAAAATCAAAGGCAAAAAYCATCAGGCATCAAAGGAGCAGATGGAAGAGTGGAATTTTGATRGGATGTAAGGATATGTCCAAATGGGCCAGAAGTGTGGGCACTGAATGCACCTTGAGGAGAAGCTGGAGGAGGAGAGGGGTTTATCCTGCAGGAATGAGGGAATCTGTGACATACAGAAACCAGAACTCACCATKGCCTTTCCCAGCTGCAGAGTGGTTCTGCATCACCTCTGTCCCCCTCCCCCTGTGACAATAACA